GGCACCTAGGGGAGGGGGGGGAGGGCTCCCTGCTGCAGCCACCGGGGACTGCCTGAATCATCAAAGCTCTCTGAATCTTTTCCGAAGATTGGGTGAGTTTTGAATTGATTCGGACCTTTTAATTGGTCCCCTGATTTGATTCTGATTTGGAGATTCTGCCACTGAATCGGGCTGAATCTCCTCTGAATCAAATCACCACCCAAAACTTCGCACAGCCCTACTACATATTACATGGCTTCCAGGAAGGTCTGTCATGGAAACTCACATTGTCTTGAACTTGCTGGAAGTGTCTTGGGGTAAGAAAAAATATGCTGAAGTCAGAAAGTGAGAGCTAGCCTCACTTTTAGGGGAGCTGCAGGATTCATCTTTGCAAAAAGTAGAGGCCTGAAGTCTAGCCTTAAAGGCGGACACTTTCAGAGGGACTGGATGAAGGTGGGAAGTCTAACATGCCCAGTGGACCTGTAACATAGATATCACCCTTTATGAAAGGTTTTGTTTGCGCTAGGCTGGGAACAAAGTTAAGAAATAGGAGGCTGGGTCCTTTAAGTTGTAAACTGTCAAAACCCTGTGGACATCAGTGGAGCCAGCAACCATCTTACAGCAGCTGAGGCTCTTGTGCTGTGGTTAGATTCAGTTTAAAACATACTAACGCTGGTAGTGCCAACCCCTCTTCCAGTCCCCACCCTCCTGAAGCATATTAATTCAGGAGAAGCCACTCTGTGTTAGAGGACTTGGAGAAGGAGCAATTGGAAAGGGAAAGCGAACAGCTGGAGAACTGGCGACACTGTCATGTTAGCTGGAGCGAGCAGCAGTGGTTTCTGAAGACCCTAACTATGCCAATTTTTTTCTGCAGCTGAGCCAAACCTGATGCGGGCTGGGAACAGAGTCCGCTTGGTTCCATGGGTGCAGAAGGGCAAGAAAGAGGTTTCAGAGCTATGTGTAATATACTCTGAAATAGCCAAGGGCACTGCACTTGTTGGCTGGCTGGGAATGTAGCACTTGAGGACACAATTTTTTACAGGTTGTAGCTGGGTGCCCAGCTTCTACTAAAATCCCAAGGGCACCTTTGTGCCTTTGAAAATCTCTTTCTAGTTGCTTAGGGATGCTGATCACTTTCCAATAGCCATAAGAGCATTAACCAGCCTGATGTGTTAAACTAGCCTTTACTTTCTGCACTTGTGCTTATTTACATATTGGCTGTTTCAGGCACTGTATTGTGCTGTAGGGCAGATACCAGTGATGCCTCACCTTTCAAGTTACCTTTACCTCACAGTTCATAGATGGTACACAGGACAGAACTCTGAAGTGTAGAAGAGTTAATTTAGCTACTATCTCAAGCTAAAAAATCCTGTATTATGCAGGAGGTTGGCTAGATGATCATAATGGCCCTTGTAGCCTTCAGATCCATGACTCTATGAGAAAAGATTGCTGCTACTTTTCTGAAAAGCCCCTTTCCCATTACAATCATAGGCCATTCAGAATCCCAACACTAAATATGAGGTACAGCTCATTTTGTAGTCAAAAGAAGAACTGTGTAGGCCATGTGATAGCTCCCCTACAGTGTAGAGGTTATTGCATTGCAGGTAGGATGGTCAAGGTGATGAAAGCACTGGATGGTGACTTAGGAGAGCTGGGTTCACCTCCTATAGTCCTGGCTCTGCCAGACTTCCTGCATGGCTCTGAGCAAGCCATATGCTTTCCTGAAGCTCTTGTTACACTTCTGTAATAGGAGAACAATGATACCTCACTGGAGTACTAGGAGGATCAATATGCACATAGTGGAGAGGCATTCTGTTCAATGTTGACGGGGCCACATATGTAGATAATTCTTCCTCTTAGAAACACATGATTTACAACATGTAGCTGAGTAAAGATCACCAAGTTAACATTTTGAAAAGGGAGTCTCCTTTTGGTATGCATTTGAAAGGTCAACTAACATTGTGAATGAAGAGGAGTTTTAGGGTATGTTTTGTTAATTTTAAAAGATCTACACTAAATTAATTTATTGTACTTCTGTGACTTCCATGACATTTGTTCTTTTCCTGGATGACTATTGAAACAATAGGATGTGACTGAACCGCTGGTAGCCTTAGGCCCTATGCAGTGATTCACTGAGGTAATTTTCATTTACCAGAACTTGTGTACATGTCCTGCCATGTGTATGACTGGAATAGGCAATACTTGGAAGTCATACCTCTTCCTCACGCAAAGGATCTTATGCCTGGATATGGGCCTGCTTTGAGTTTTGTCCTTTTTTTTAAAAAAAAGATCATCTCATTTTGAAAAGAAGCATAGGAAATCTTGGAAAAAGCAGAGGAAGCATCCTGAGAAAATGTCTTAGATAACAGACAACTGACCGCTTAAAAATTTCATTGTCACCATATTGCCATAGTTTTATTTCATGAGGTTCATTTGCATCCAGGGCATTAATTATATTGAGGTTTCAGGCCACAATATTCTCCTTGGGCACCTATCCACGTGTCCAACGCCTGCTCCGATGCATTCTAATCAGAGTGCGTCAGAGCAGACTTGAGTCTGCTGGAGTGTACTAATTTGCATGATCCAGCAGCCTCAGCGTCACGTGCATTCAGCGTCCCCGCACTTTGAAATAGCGGCCGGGTGCTTTAACAGAGCTCATTGAACGAGCTTTAGTTAAAGTGCCCCACCGCCATTTTGAAGTATGAGATGCTGCATACATGAGACACTGTGGACACTTTAATTAGAGCACCTCCTGAGAGCCTCTCTAAAGCCCCCCCACCCCGCCCCGAAGCATATGTAAAGACACCCTTTGTGCATAAAGCCTTGTACCTGACAGCCTATGTGGGAATGAAGCAATGGATCTTACACTGTTGAACAGGGGTGAATTTCATCCCTGCCTTCTATAATAATATATGTAATAATATATGTCATAATTTTGAAGAGTGAGCATAAATTTGTACTTGCTCAAAATTGTCTCTAGGAAAAAAAACAAGATTGTGCTTTTATTGCAGTTTAAGCTGTAACCTGGTGAAGATCTGATCTATTAAGGGGTAGATTCTCCTAACAAATGCCTCTCTCCATCAGTTTCCTCATTAAAATCAATGGCACTACTTTAGGATAAGGTAATACGCAATGTGCATGTCAGAATTTAGCCCTAAAGCAGGATGCAGGGAGACCATGTGGAAAGTTGTCCAGGTTTCACATAACTCACCACAGCCTGTGTAACAAATGATGTGAAAGGATGGGTAGACTAGTATTTAGGGTGTCACAGAAGGAATCCTTTCTCTCCTCTGCCACAGATGTCCTGTATGACCTTGCATGAGCTACAGCTGTCCAGCTTTAACATGGGAGTCATACAATTCTCTACCTTGCTGGGGTGTTGTGAGGAAAAATACAGCAATGACAGGCATAAAAGTACCTACACTAGGCAACTCAGTAGCAGAAGTACAGAGATCTCAGGGGGAGATGCTCATGAATCATAGACTCATAGAAAATTAGGTTTGGAAGGGAAGTCATGTAGTTCAACACCCTACTCAAAGTAGGACCGTCCCCACCTATATTATCGTGACAGCCTGCATTAACAGCCTGCAGCAAAGGACAGGCTATGACATGGTACTGCTATTTTGACAAGTTGGAATTATTAATCCCCTTACTCACATGGGATCTCAATACTGAAGTACTGTTGGACTTCAGGCCTGCACTACTGTCTGTTTAGGCTGTCCTGTCTCAATGGGCTGGTGCTTTTTTGGATTAGAAACTTTGTGCCATGCAGTTTGAATTATTCTGAAGGTATGAAAAAGTCCCATACTGAGACACTGAAGATAAAACTCTATTTTTACATCTATTTGCACTTAAAAAATAATTACCAGAAGCTTAAGTATATGAGTTGTGGATTTGGCAGTGTTTTCCTCTTTAGTTGTGGGGCAGCTCTTTGAGCTGCTGATCAATAGCTAGGACATAGCTGCAAATAAAAGAATTTCCTGAGACACAGTGTAAAATAAAACAAAATGTTGTTTGGCACCAGTATGATAGTCCCCAGAGAGAAGGGAGTTGGCAGTATTCCTCAACTGCACCGGGTCAGCTTATTCTACTACCATTAGCCATCCTGGTGCAGGCAGCAATCCTCAACTGTTCCAAGATGCCCTACAATCATCTAATGCATTGGTCCATCTCGTAATCCTCTGACAATCCAGGTTGCTCTATACTTTCTTGCTATGTTAGGCCAAGTCACTCTACACTTCATAGCTTCAGGGAAGCAGTAATAGACTTTGAGTGCTCTAGGTCTCTTATTAATTCCTAACCACTTCAAGCAATCGAATGTAGAAGTTTTAGGAATACATATTAACTGCAGCACATGACTGTGGTCAGAGCATCAAAGAAAAAATGGATAAACAGACATCCAGATTAAAATCAGACACACATAACAACAGAAGAAGTGACCATCTGGACTTCAGGGAAGCTGAGAACTAAGGCCTAAGCAATACAGAGGAAGGGATCTCTTGTTCTGCCGTTGTACCCTGCCTTCCTGCCCCTTGGTCACACAGTCCCATATTCTGTTCCTGATGTGTTCAATCAGTCCCTCAAAAGGGAGCATATTCTGGTAGCAAAGGAACATAGAAATGGCTACACTGGCTCAGACCCATGGTCTGTCTAGTCTAGTGTCCTGTCTTTGATAGTGGCCAGTATGAGGTGCCTGAAAGGTATAGGAAGCTTGCAGCAGGCAGCTGAGGGGACATCTTCCCTTCCCCACCCCCACTGGGCCTTATCCTGATCACTCTGTATTTGAGACTGGACTAAGCCCTGAAAAGATCTTATATCCCCATCAAAGCATGCTGTTGATTTATGATGATTCTGCAGGTTGTTGATATCCATGTATGCATCCAATCCTCTTTTGAATCTTGCTAAATTCATGCACTAAATGATTTCTTGTAGTAATGAACTCCCTCTTTGAGTGGGTGAAAAAGTATGTCCTTTAATTGCTTTTGAATGTCCTATCTTTTAGTACATACTTTTTAATCTTTTACTTCAATTGCCCGTCCCCTTGCTCTGCTTCCAGGAGACAGGGAGAGAGAAACTCTAACTCCATCTTCTCTGCAGCACTCATGGTTTCATATATGCTTATTGTGTCCCCTGTGATCTGTCTCCCAAGGTAAGCAATCCCCAAACCTCTTCAATCGCTCTTCATACAAAAGGATTCCCAAGTCCTGCCGGATTCTCAGGGTCTTCTCCTGAGCCCAGTTTAGTGCTGCAGTGTCCTGATGAGCTGTGGCGTCCAGCTCTGCACACAGTATTCTATACGAGGCTGTGCGATTGATTTATAGAAGAGCAGCCTATTATTATTCCAACCTCTTGTTCTTTGCTCATCCCAACATCCTGTTTGCTTTTTTTGATAGCAGCTGCCCATTGAGAAGAGGTTTTCATTGAGCTGGCAACAATGACACCCAGGTCCATTTCCTGAGCTGCTACAGTTAATTTAGAACCATGAGTAATGGATGGCTTTTTGCTCCACTGTGTGTTTGCATTTATCATCATTGAATTTCACCTGCTTTTGTGCTGTCCATTCACCTAGCTCAGTTAGATCCCTCTGAACTTCCTCACAGTCCTATTTGGTCCTGACTAATATAAATAACTTTGTGTCGTGTACAGATGTTGTGGCCTCTCTGTGTGCCTCCCTTTCCAGGTCATTAAACAGCATGAAGCCTAGAACAAAACCTTGGAGCACCTGCTGTTAACCTTTAATAGCAGCCAGCAGCAAAGAAGAGCTACCACATCTGTTTTGGCCAGGAGAGGAGGCAGCTGAACAATGAGCAAAAGCAGATAAGCACCAAGGGGGTCCTACTGCAGTCTGGAGAAATTTGAGGATGTTGCCTCCACTGAAGGACATCTGGAGTGGCAGAACCCCCAGATATAAGCCAGCCTCCATATGCAATAGTGAAGATTCAGAGCAGGGTTTAAACAATGGAAGATATGGCAGTGAAGACACTAATGTCTGTCCAGACAGTTGCCACATGGCAGCTCTACCTTTTCTTGGTCCTGGATGTATGGTCATCTGCTCCAGACTGGGTGTGGAGTGACTGAGTGACCTCTGCATCCTTTCACAGTGACTGGGTGACCTCTGCATCCTTGAGAATGTCAGGTCTACCATGGAAAGGTGTCCAGGAGAGTGCTTTTAGCCTTGCAGCATAATACTAAAGGGACATCAGGAGTTAGTGTCTTTATCCATGGTGCAAAATAAGTGGGCACAGGTATTCCATGAAAAGCCAGTGCATGTACATAGCATTTGGACTCTCTGATCAAACTTCCTGAGGTCATTTTAAATACTCCCTGTAACTTCAGTCAGGCCCATACTGGGCCTTGAATCCTTTGTGGAGGGGTTATTGAAAAACAGTGTTACCGCTGGCAACTGAGTCCATTGAGTCTCCTCTCCTAGACTACCTGGAGTCAAGAGAAAAGTTCTTGCTTGCTTCTGAACCTCAGTCAGCAGAGCTTTATTCTGTGGCTGGCTTATCACTTGACAGTATATTAAGATGCATTATCAAGATGGGATGGAGGAGCCTCCAAGGAGCTATGTTATGTTCCAGCACATACTAATTTGTGATTCAAATAATAAATTTCATAGACACTAGGGCTGGAATTTAAATTTAAAAAATATGAAAGAAAATTACAGAACAGCCATTGGATTGTGTGGAAACAAAGCTGGTTTTAAGACCCCACTTGAGGAAGTGCCCTTATTCCAGAAGATACTAGTTAAATCTTAAATCCTATTTAAGTGAAGAGAATTTGAGCTCTATTTGCTCAAAATGGAGCATCAGTGATTTTTCCAAAGAAAGGTTTAAAAGCAGAATCAGGACGGGGTTCTTCACAGGACCTTGATTGTGCAATTTTTTCTCAAGTTAAAATGTACTTCCCGACAGAAATCATCTCATTGAACTTAGTGGAATGAAGCACATGAGCAAGCATTTGTGTATTGAAGCAAAAATTGCACTACCAAGTGCTTTTCAAACACTTGGCCAGATTCTCAGCAGATGTAAATTAGTAGAGTCCCATCACATTTCCAGAAACCAAGCTGAGCTCTGCCAGACCAAGAATCTGGCTTACATCCACATGAATTTGAGTTTGCTTTCATGCAAATCATAAACATGAATTTCTGTATTAGTACTGATCATGTCACAGGTTATGTAGTCAACTTTTCCAAATGTGAAAAGAGAGCTCACGGAGGTAGTTAGGTCAAAGGACGTGGTCATCA